AAAAAAAAAAAAATGCCGAAACACCCCCCGGGAATAAAAAAAAAAAAAAAAAAAAAAAAAAAAGTTGTCAAAAGCAAAATACCAAGTTAAACATTCACTAAAGGATTTCTCACCTGGCTTTGCTTTAGTTTTTGCTGCAGGTTTCTCATCTTCAGAACTGTCTGAAGAGTCATCACTGCTGGAGCTTTTTTTCCCACTGCCTGCCTTCTTCACTGCAGGCTTGGACGGTGCAGGGGATTTGGCTGCAGCAGCAGATTTGGCAGGAGGAGTTTTAGTTGTAGCAGGCTGCAACATAAAACAAGTTATATTTTTATAAAGCCATAGCAAGTATAGTGTTTACAGTAAATTAGTACCGAGATATACATGTACTGAATAGAACCGCTCCCTTGCTTGCTTTGTAAGCTGATCTTTAATTCAGAAACAACCATGTACATTAGGAGTGCCAACTTCTGATCTGTACGCTTGTTTCAAGTTAGTGACTCAAATCTAGGGTAGCCAGAGAAGATTTTTTTATTGTTAAATGTTAGAAGCCTATCTCCATCTCTCAGTAAAGGTTTTCCATAAAGTGTATGTAAACATAAACCCCATATGGCCATTTGCTTCCCTGTTGTCTGTTAAACATACAATTGATAGTGTTGTGTGTTGGCAACAAGTGCACAAAAATACCTTTTGATCTCATCAGATATCCAGTGCTATCCTGTACGGTCTCCAGTCTTATCGCAAGTAGTTTTATCTGTCCTGCCCAAGCTACCTCGGAGCTACAGAACACTCCCCATGTTAGGACTACAGAATACCCCCCCTATCAGATGCATCTACAGTAACTAAATACCGACTGTTTGCTTTAGAACACATGGTAATTTTCTAGCACCCTAACTTTCCAACAGCTTTCACAAACTTATTTGAATAGATGAAAGCAATATAGCACCAACAGTGCTATGTTGTTTGCAATCAAAAGCTGTTCAAAAGTAGCCAAATGCTAGAAACGCGTCGTGTATTGTAGCACTGGAGCCAACAGACGTGGACTTGTTACAGATAGACTGTCGATTCAGAGGAGGAAAAAGACATTTAGTGCAATGAGCAGGCCACAAGCATTATTTCACCTTTGCTGGGGTGCTGTCTTCCGACTCTTCACTGCTACTGGTATCCGGTTTACGCGTTTTTAATGCTGGAGTTGTTTTTGCTGAGGCTATATAAAAATAAAAAAAGAATGAGCTCCTCGTAAATCAGCACATCGTTACAAAGTCAGTTATTCTACAAATAAACTGAAAAGTAAAAAAACACCAAGAAATAACTTCCTGATTTTAAATAAAAATGTACACATTTGTACAAAGCTTTAAATCTCTAGCTCAATAGTTACACTTAGTGATGCTATATACATGCAGCCTACTGCCTTTAAGGTACTAGACAAATGCTTCAATATATTACAGTGCAGACATCTGCTCCCACATTACAACTGCACCTCAATAATCACTTCCCAAAAGCTTTCAATAACTTTTTCACACACGTCAAGCATCAATAGTAAACTGCCCCTACATAAGCACGGAGCAAAATTATCCATTTTGGACCATGAAGTTTTGTTTTTTTCTAACTGAAAAATCACAGCATGTTTTCCCCCCTTTCAGCTATTAATAAATACTGAAAAACGGCCTGGATGGGAAGGGGGTTTAACACCGCGGATGTCAACTGGTTAAGCTGTGAACCCCTTTAAGAACATTGAATACCTAGATGGACAATGTTGATAACTAGGAGGTGCACCGAAATGGAAATTTTAAAACCGAAATAAAAAAATAAAAAAATTGTCTGGCCAAAACCGATACCAAAAATGTTTTTTATTTTTTCAATATTTTATTTTTATAAACTTTTACATTTTTAATTAATTTTTTTATTAAATATTTGTATTTTTTACATTACTTTTAAGGGCTTTGGGGAAATATTGGGGTCTAAACAGACCCCTATTTCCCATTTAAAATAGAAAAAGAGATTTAGGACACAGTCGTCTTTTTCTGTGTCCCCTGTTATCAATGAACAGGAATCCTCTGAGAGTTCCCGTTCATTAACAACATGAGAACATTGTTTACTATAACTATGAATGAACAGTGATGTAGATCACTCCCATTCATTCATAATTGAGGCGATAGCATACCATACCCTCAATTATGTACACACATCGATCACTGATCGCGGTGTTTGTACCTTGCTCTCCTCTCTGACACGCTGTCACAGGAGGCTGATTGAGCGGTGTAGGGAGGAGAGCTCAGCTCCTGTGACAGCGCGGCCTGTCTCCGCCCACACACCGCTCTGCCGGACTGTCATAGGAGGCTGAGCGGTGTGGGAGGAGAGACGCCGGCCGCTCACAGCGCTCTTACCGCTGCCACTTTCTCTCCTCCCCGCTGGGACACAGAGCAGTGCCCAGAGGGGTGCAGAGAAAGCCGGGATGCACCGATCGGCAGGAAAATTGCACTCAGGCATTAAGCCAAAAGTGCTTATATATCGGTGCATCCCTATTTATAACCATGTAGTAATGCTGAAAAAGCGTAGGTTACACCTTTCCCTATGGGAATAGGAAAGTGGCTTTTTATAACTGGATGCAGGCAATATGTGAATGCATCAGCTAATTTTCAAAAGACCATAACAATATCAAACAGGGTATAAACATAAGCAGAAAGACCAGCTTGATTGAAACAGTCATCAGCGAATTAAAAACGTCATTTATATGCATTTGTAATTCCACATGCAAGCCGCATACACTGCTTTGCAAAGCAGGAATGCGGCAGTGAGCCAAATACAGGGCTTCCTCTATTGGTTAATTTACTAATTTCTATATTTATACTAACCCCAAACAAACAAATACATGGTTGAAATACATATAAGTTTACAGGTTTACCAACCATTTGGTTTTTGTAATGTTAGCCATTCTTTTGAATAGTATATGAACAGACTGCACTATCCAAATAATTCCAATACTTCAGACTTTATTGAAATTCACAGCAAATCTAGTATAACAGTGAAAAGCGTATAAAGCAACAAATGCCAGCGCTGCAGACCCCCAAGCAGCTAGTACCTCTCACATGTTTCACCCGTAGGCTTCTTCGTAGAGGAAGAGACCTCTATGAATAAGCCAACGGGCGAAACATATGAGAGAAACGTGTTGCTTTATACACTTTTATTGACATTTACACTGGATTTGCTGTGAATTTCAATAAAGTCTGAAGTATTGGAATTCTCTGGATAGTGCGGTCTGTTCGTATACTACTACATTCCAAGGTGGAGACGCACCTATTGGACCAGCACCTGGGGAGTCCTGATGGTGGCTAAGGAATTGGAGCAGTGAGATTTCCTTTGGCTCTACATTCTTTTGAATAGTTAGCCAACATTACAAAATGTGAATTCCTTAAATCAGGAACTACATGTGCTTTAGGTCTGGCTGCACAACATTAACATATGTGATCACAAGAAATGCTGTACAGAATTGCAAATCTTTGATAGATTAAAGTACATATTTCCTGTGTTGCCTACCTAGAGATCCTTTTCAATACATTACAAATTTGCCTTCTGCAATAACTAAGGGACAAGGGATGCAGAAAATGTAGATTTCAATCTGTGTACAAACTGGTCGCAGTAAAATGCAATTTTTTTTTAAAACTGGCCAATTTCGACTAGTATGAGGGCTACAGGTCCAACAAATATCAGCTGCTGGCTAACCTCTTTCAGGGGCGGCCTTATTAAAACTTGCTTCAATAACTGCACACCCTCCTCTTTCCCAAAGACAAGTGGTGCCAGGGGTGTCTAGCTGTCCTTTGACTCTGCATTCAGCCAAGCATTCACATTTAAGGCAGTCATTCTGCTGTCGGATCAATTTTTTTTCACATGCATGCTAAAATGCATTTTTTTAAAAAACATGAACAAACTTGCATCTCAAAATTTGATAGCGTCTCACCAGTCACTGAATGCAGGAAGTGATGTAATATACATCACTTGCTGCATTCGGGGACTGAGAGGAGATCAAAGGGAGTTTGTGTACTGAACTCTTTGATCTCCTGTCACAGAGCCGTGCCCGGCCGCATCGGGCACAGCGGATCTCGGGACCGGCAATGGCAGTGACAGCTTCTGATACAAGCGATGGAGCGTCTCTCGAGACGCTCGATCGCTTGACTGTAAAGCTTCCGGCCGGCTGTGTAATCACAACGAGTATGTATGTATGTATGTATGTATGTATGTATGTATGTATGTATGTATGTATGTATGTATGTATGTATGAGCTCAGCATTCCAGTTATTTTGTTTCTACCAGTAACTGCTCAGTTGTAACAGGAGTGAAAGGGTTAAGGAACCATTTTCCACTTCATGCCGAGGAAAAAAATCCCATCTTACATGGCTGTGCTGCGGACTTTGGTGCAGGGGACTTCACAGGAGGAGCCTGTTTTTTCTGGGGGGCTTCATCTTCTGAACTGGAGTCCGAACTCGAGTCTTTTGCTTTCTTCTGCGGTGGAGTTTTCACATTGTCTGCCTTTGCCAGGGGTGTAGCCTTTTTCTGTGTGCAGAGAAACCATTAATTGAAAGTGAACCTATACAACTTCTCAGTCAGCAACGCCATAAATGGGGGTCTGAGAAGGTTCTCAGTCAGCAGGGTTATAGCATATCTGTAAAAAATAAGTCAAGGCAACTGGACTTGCTGTATTTTTCTTGAGACGTTTCACTGGTCATCCAACCAGCTTTCTCAATTCAGAATGTTATTGAATTCTGAATTGAGAAAGCTGGTTGGATGACCAATGAAACTTCAAGAAAAATACAGCAAGCCCAGTTGCTTTGACTTATTTTTTACAGGCATAAATGGGGTATTTAAGCTTTAGGCCTTTGTCAATTTGAATGATCTCAGTAGCGTCCCAAAGTGCCGCAAGGTGGGTGAGTTGCCCGTTACTGTGTTAAATGTAATAAAGATACCCCGATGCATGGACAATCTCAAACACCTGCAAATAGGCATTAAACTAGTTCATAAACAGGAGGGTGGGTGCAGGAACTAGCAAGAGTCTAAACCTCCTATCCCCATGATGGAACTGGTTAAGGCAAACTTCTTACAGGAGGAGGTTTCTTGGCTTCCTCTTCAGATTCAGAATCTTCACTGCTGCTTTCGGCTTTCTTTGTTGGGAGCACTTTAGTCACTGCTTTCTTGACTGCTGCCGGTGCTAAGATATCAAATGGACAAAAAACAAAGATTAGAAAAAAAACATTTAGTAGCTCTCTACAAAATACATGCATATTACTCCATGCTTTGTCTCTGCAAGTACACAAAAATACCTGTTGACTTGCTAGAAATCTAGCGAGCTCCTACCTTCCTGTGTCTGTGCTGCACTATAATCCCAAGCAGAGTAGATTTATCAGCCTGGCTAAGTTTACCATCTGTTGACTACAGAACAACTTCCGGAGGATAAGAGGGAGGCATTCTGTTGTCCTAACCTGGTATCCTAGAGATATAACGCTACTCCTTATATACAGTACAGCATCGCTGGACAAAAAACAGAGGAGCCAGGTAGCCAATGATCCTTAAAAAAAAAAAAAGTCACAGCTGTGCCCAACTTTTGAGGTTTTTCTCTAGCTGTTGTCAATGGAGCTGGCTCTTAAAAAAATCCTACAGGCTGCTAAATTGGGCAGACTGGCTCCTAAATTCAAGGTCAATTTGTCCACCACTGAAGTACAGAGAGTGAGCCTTTTCACCATAGGACAGAAGTTCGTTTTTGGCAGGATCACACCAAATGACAAAGTGGAAAAAACAACCTCTGAGGATTGGTAAGCTTTAATATATTAAAAATAGTAGACATACAATTTCCCAGCAGGTAAAACTGCCGAGAAACACTAGTCAACAGACTGCCAAATTGGGAAACACCTTTAAAAATGTTTACTAGATCTACAAACAGTTGAAAAATCAAACGCCTCAAAAGGTTGTTTTTGCACACACTGCAGTCAGTGGGGTTTTTGAGACACTAATTACCAATTACACCAACGACATAATTTCCACCATACAACTGTTAAGGTGCCCATACACTGCTCGATTCTCGTACGAGAATCGGGCGAAATCCCGCGATCGTACGAGAATCGAGCGGAGTGAACTAAGACGTGCGACCGTTTCTACTGTACGGTCGCACGTCTTTTGTCGAGCCAACATGTTCGAAAACCCGCCGAGAATCGTACGATTCTCGGCGGGTTTCCAGCCAGCTCGCCCGATAGCTG